GGGGAATCAAACCCAGTTTTTCCAGATTAGAGTCGGCGCTCTTAACCACTACATCAAACTGGAGGAGGGGACCATCAGTGGCTACTAGCGAAGATGACTATGGGAACCTCAGTGTTCCAGGGCAGTAAACCTTTGAATACCAAAGTTAGGAGTCAACATCAGGGAACGCCTTGGCCTGTGTCCTGTCTGCTGGCCATTGAATAAAAGACTGCTGGGCTAGACTGAGCATTAGTCTGATCTGGCAAGGCTTTTTTTTTTTTTTTCATTTTGAACACAAATTTCTGTTTCATCAGACTTTGTTTTAAGTTCTTGGCAGATTCTTTAATGGCAGCTGCATGTTCAAATGCTCGTGTGCACGCGCGCACACACAATCACTGCCTACCCGTCCACAGAAAACTACATGTGACGAACAAGAATTGAGCCTATTCTTCACCATGATATGCTGGTTTTTTTATGCATAGAGTTTTTATGTGTGAGCAAAGTGTTATGCCAACTCCTCCTGGAAATTCCTGGAGACCCAATCCGAGTTATCTACCTCGGGAAAGGGGAGGGTGTGGCTGTGCATAAGTTCTTAACCAGTTTATACAGAGGTCAGATGGTCAAAGGGGAAACGCTCGCTATTGGTCAGGGAGCCAGACAACACACTATTGGTTAAATCAATGTTGCCTTTACTAAATGGTTTCATCAGACATACAAAATCGGAATCATACAAGTTTCACACAAGCTCCTTAGTTACAATAGTACATCAGAACAATTACAGCATAGAAAATAACAAAAGCATCAAAAGGGGGATGACACAATGGGGCACGGCTATACTTATCTGAGGTCCAAGCTGAAGAAGAAATTTCCTCCTTGGAAGGATGGGCAGCTAAAGCAGCAACTTGTGAAGTCTGAAAACACACAGGCTGGGCCAGCCAAAGCCACGTGTGCGCTCCCTGGGTCGCGACTCCGGGGAACTTAGGTAGAGAGTCACTTGTAGCACCTTAGTGCACGCTATGGGGAAGGTGGGTTAACCAGAGAAACAAAGAAGAGTTTCTCCTTAAATAAACTCCTTTGTGGGGCAGTCTTTTCTAGCCATAAACTATCAAACCCGTCCTCTAAACTACCACTACTGGCTGAAGAGGGGGTGACGAGGGGGTGACGAGGGGGTGACGTTCTCCTGAGGGGTGGTGGGCAATATGCAGATCCTACTCCTACATCAAAGGTGCCTTGTGGTGAGGTGTGAATCTTCCGTTCCCATGGACACCTCTTGACTTGCAGATCTGGTGCTTGCTCCAAAGCCATAAATGCTATTGTCTTTAGATCCCAAGCCAGATTAGGAGAGTAGGGTTACGTGCTCTTTCCCATTCCAGGAATGCTGGGGTTCGCTGGGGATTTTCCATAGCTCTCAGAGTGGGTGCAACGGCGCGGTGTCTTCTCTATCCCAGAGCATCACGGGATACATTCCAGGGAAGCACATGGTCCGTATGTGCAGCAGCAGCCCAAGGCCAGCCTATTTCTAGGCAAGCATGAGATGCAGAACAAAGCAACACAACCAGACAGCAATCCCTGAACACACAATGCAGAGGTACTTATGCTAGAGACACACACAAACAGCATCACCACTATACAGAAATACAAACATAGGCTCATATCGTAACAAAAGGGAGAACATTTAAAAATGCTGTTTCCCCCACCTGAAATCTGAAGTGGTGCCATTCAGGATAATTTCCCCCCCTCCGTGATTTTGTTGAATTGTGTAAATGAGCCCTGAGTTAAATCTATTCTCAGGAGCTTTGAGACCTGAAGGATAAATCCTACTAATTGTGTTGTATGTTTTTTAATTGCTTTTTCTGCCTCCTCTGTGTAACTGTATAATAGCATGTTTTATTGTTTTGTATATATTTGAGTTGCTTTTAATTTTCGGTGTGTCTACTGCAAGACACTCCGAGGCTGTGTGGGCTGAAAAGCAACCTAGAAATTGAGTACATAAAAACATGACAGATGATTTGCATTCTCCAAAGGGAATCAAAACTCATTGTTGCTTTCCTGGAAATTCTTTGCCTGTTTTTGTCTAAAGAGGAAACTCTTTTTTGTGAAGGTGAAATTTAGTAGAGAAGCTGGAAACAGCCATTCATACTTAATGCTGGTTGTTATGTGCATGTGCATTACTCACTGACCCACTATGGAATGTTTCAGCGGTCTGCATTGGAAAGTATTGTGTTGGAGGAGATGGTGGGAAATGGCAGAAAAGCTCTGAAATAGTTGGCACTTGCATTTGAAATGTGGAGGAGTAGAATCTGGGTTCACCTCGCAGGACCAAAAAAAAAAAAGTGCTGGTTCCTTATTTTGTAAATTTATGTACATACCCATGGGTTGAGATACAGCAAAGAGCAACTCTGCTGGTGAAAGCTAACCTTGATATTAAATCAACCACACCAGCATCTCTGTGGTGGCTTGCTCACATACACGGCTTAAAACTCCCCATGTGAGTCAAGGCCATCGTATTGTGAGTTTCCTCCGCACCCCTTGATCCACATTTTTGGAGGTAAGTATGTTAAAGGAAACACCTAAACTAACACCAAGCCAGGATTTCTGAGAACGGCATCTAGAGAAAGTTGGGGGTGGATCGAATGCTTTCTTCACAGGTACTGCTTTGAACCTGCAGCGTTATACTGAAAATTCACTGTAAAGATACTGAAAACAAACTTTCTGGGAGTCCATTATTATGCTAAGCATAGGGAGCTGGACGTTCAGGAACCCATTCTGGCCTTTCAGACCTTTCCATTGGACCTCCAGTATAGCTTTGGATCCTCTTCACACACACACACCATGCTTGCACATACTATTAATCACTTCTCCCACCTTCTGTCAAGTGGATACATAGGCAAAGGCCTCTTTAACCCCTTCCTCCATAATGTTAGCAGCAAAAGAGTCTTTGGCCCCTTGTTATGGACCACAGCTGCTTACTCTCTTCATTCAAGCAAGACACAGACAAATGGTATTGAACAGCTGAAGTAAAGGAAAGGTTCACCCCAGAGCCTCTGTTGCTTTATACATCAGGGAGAAGGGGACTGGAAGAGCTCTTTGCCTTTGTCTCTGCTCTTTTGAACCAAGTCAATGTATGGAGTTGATGTTGCTGGCCCTTCAGGCCTTGCTCAAATTATGGCCTCAGTTAAAGATTAATTGTTGAGGTGTATAGCATGCATGCTTCTCAGAAAGGAGATGGGATAGTGGTAGGGGTGGGGGGTATGCACATGAATGCTGTGAACACCAGGGTGTGTTCTCATCCCCCACCTCCTGAGTGCATCCCTTTTAAGTGACTAGATAGCTGCTATTTAATTCCATAGGACAAAGTAAAATCAAAGACTCCCCCTTCAAATCCAGATACAGGAACAGCAGTGCTGTGCATTGAATCAATGGGTTCAAAAGTGTATAACTCTGCTTAGAAGCTCCCTCCTCTATTTCATGTCTCCCAGAATTTCACAGTTCAAAATGGGAACACCCTGGAGTACTTGTCATGCTTATTTTCTTACACCAAGAGTCACGGATAGAGTCCCACATTTACATATGGCTAAAAATTCTTCTCTGTCTGCTTTATGGAACCATTCCATTTTTTAAAAGGAAACTTGACAGAATGTTTAGGGCCTAATTATGCTACAGGAGCTACAGTTCAAACACCATCAATAAATAACCTGTATGATCTGGATAAGCACTAGACCTGTTCCCGTGTTACAGGAGATGTTTGTACATCCTGTATGCACATCTATTTGTAAGAAACATCCAGTGTGCGTTCACACTACAAATGAAACTGGGAACCAGTACCTAGATAAAAATTTGTGGGTTCAATCACATGACCATACATGCATTGAGCGTAACATGAGAATTACTCAACATGTGTATAAAGAAAAAACAAGTGCACACTGTACACAGATTGTTACATGCATTCACTGGAACTTGTGAACAGGACTTGTGATAGGGGAGGATTGATGAGAAGTAATTTGTGCCTATGTGCATACACTTACCATGTACACTGGAGTCAAGATCATGTTAATGCTTATGCTGTCCCTGTGAGAAAAGTGGACTATAAATAATGTAAATAAAGACACATTGGCCTTCCTAACTTCTAGCAGCCTAACATATTCCCTAAAGGCAAAATAGGGGTCACTGTTTTACTGAGGACAGGTAACAGAAACTAGGGATTGTGTCTGACAAACAGGAACAGAATTCATGAAGCACAGGCTAGTCAGGTTTTTGAGACAAGACTAGCAGCACCAGTGCGGTGTTAGAGTGTCCGACTAGGATCTAGGAGACCTAGGTTCGAATCCCCACTCTGCCATGGAAGTTTGCTGGGTGACCCTGGTCTAGTAACACATTTTCAGCCTAACCTGCCTTTCAGGATAAAATGGGGGGAGAGGAGAACGATGTAAGCTGGTTTAGATCCCCATTCCGGTGAAAGGCGGCGTATAAGTGACGTAAATAAATGAATACGTAAAACCCTAAGCAGAGTTGTGTCCTTTTGAGCCCATTTACTACAGTAGGCTTAAAATGGCGTAACTCTGCTTGGGATTTCACTGTTATGTCCCCTCCTCTATTTACAGTTGTTATTTTTAATTGCAAAGCACCCCAGGTGGTACTTTCTTCTCCCCACCCCCCACCCCCACCAAATCTTTTGCTGCTTTATCTGTTTTTCATTGCAAGTCTTCAAGGCATTTAATCCCCAAAGGGAGTGTTTGAAGTTCCACTGTTCCTTGATATGGGGCTCCACAAGGAGGGCTGCCACTAACTGCTTCGGCAGCATACAGCCTTGCTCGGAAACAAGCGATGGCTTTCAAATGCAAGGCGATAAAAGGTGCTTGTTAAAAGTTAATTGATCCTGAAAGGAGAAGGAAGCTTAGAAGCCAGATTGTGAGCCGAATATAATAGCAGAATCAAAATCCCACTGATGTTACTGGCGTGGATATAGGAAGCTTACAACTCTTCACTTTATTAATTTTGTTTATTTTTAGAGGCGAGCGGGTTGTTGTTTTGTAGGTTTGCTGTTCTCTGCTGTACAGTTTGAAGTATTTTTTAAAATCCATTTCGGAATTGACATGTGCGGTTGTCTGCAGTTTGCCATTTCTGTCTTATTTTCCTTTTCAGGTTATTCATATACAACCACACATCACAGTCCAAAAAGAAATCTAGGTGCAAGGACAGAGTGGTCAGTCAAACCTCAGCATACGGGTGACATCATCAGTCAATATACCAGTCCCATTTCTCCCAGTGCAACTATTTGCATCGTTCAGTCCCCCAGCAGTTACTGACAAGCATTCTTCTGAAAAACACACTGGGGGGGGGGCTACTTACATTTGTTGAAGGGAAAGGAAAGTTTTAGGGTATGCCGGGATTGCTTTCTCCTAGCCAGACTAGGTGTGATGGTGTCCACAGTTGTTTTAGTACTTGAAAAAGTGCTAAAAGGACGAGTGCCTCATCCTGCTGCACTGTGTGACATTTTAAAATTGCTTTAAGATGGCAGCAGCATTCATGGGTCAGTCTCATCTAGTTTGGCCCTCAAATGGAAGGTCACAAGGGAACATAGCCAAGGCTATTAATCTACCCTACCTCTGATCACCTTTCTCACCTGTCTGATTTTGGGGCAGTTTTAAAAACTAAGTGATGACCCCACAGTAAGAAATGAATGCTGATATGCTGAGAACTTAGTGAAAATGAAAAGGGGAAACAATCATGAAACATGGAGCTGACTTACGTTGAGTCGGACGATTGGTCTATCATGGTCAGTATTGTATACTCTGGCTGGCAACTCTGGGGTAGAGATCTTTCAGCCAGATGTTACAGCTTGATGCTGTTTTTAACTGGAGATGCTAGGAATTGAACCTGGGATCTTCTGCATGCAAAACAGATGATCTACGACTGAGCCATAGCCCTCCCTCCCCTTGGATGGTGAGCTTTGAGAAGAGTCACTGCTGTGAAGTCCCTTGCTGGTGTTACTTTGGGGAAAGACACCTAGACAATCACCTTAATAGTCAGGAGGGTTTGTTGGGTGAGAAGTGAAACTTGTTGTTGTTTTTTAAAGTGTGACTATCAAACATTTTACCGTACCATACTAAGTATATATAATCTATAGACTGAACTTTGTCCCAAGAATGGCAATCTGTGTTACTGGCTGTGTATTGGCTGAGAGTCTTCTATCATTTTTAAAATATATTACTATTGTGGATCTTCATGAGCCTTCCGAACAAGGCCCATTGCACTGCAGGTTGTAATTTGCCCTTGGTAAGGTAAAGGTAAAGGTTCCCTTGCTCGAAAGCCAGTCGAATCCGACTTTAGGGTTGCGGTGCTCATCTCCGTTTCAAAGCCAAAGAGCCAGTGCTGTCTGAAGCCGATTCTGTGGTCATGTGGCCGGCATGACTTAACACCAAGGCGCATAGAACGCTGTTACCTTCCCACCGAAGTGGTACCTATTTATCTACTTGCAATTTCTTGCTTTCGAACTGCTGGGTTGGCAGGAGCTGGAACTAGAGATGGGAGCTCACTCCGTCATGCGGTACCCGGGTCTCGAACTGCTGAACTACTGACCTTCCACAGCCTGCAGTTCAGCGTCTTAACTGCTTGATCCACCGCAGCCCTTGGACATGGGCGCAAAGGCTGACCTGTACAGATCCCTAACCAAAATCACTTCATTGACTGAAACTCTGGAACTCCATTTCTAAACATTCATATTCTTCTTATTGTGTATTTACAGGCACTGATCATTTTAGTGACAAAGACAGTTCATAAATACGGGAAATAAATAGAAATCAGGAATCAAACATGCAAAATTATGGCAGATGCCTCGACTATCTTGCATTGTAGTATTATAAGGATATACAAATATGCCATTTTAAAGGGTTTCCCTCCCCTAAGATGTTGTGACTGCCTTTTCATTTTCCACATTTTCTCTGAAGTGTTCCTGATTTGTTTCCATTATGCCATTTTTACACAACTGATGTAAAAAAGGGGCATCAATTTTAACAGTAATAAGTCTATTGAATCTTGTTGCATAGTCAGGAACAAAAGACAGCTGCAGTTTCATCTCAGGCGGGGAGAACCTACAGCAGAAACGGGATGCTGAGACTGGAACAGTGTGTTCATAGAATTCAGTAACATCCCTGGGTGTATTCCTTTTGAATCATCCCTCTGCACTGGCAGCATGGCCAGTTCCAGGTTTCAGTGGGCCATGGTCAGAGAGTTCCTGGGGGCCCTTCCTCTCCTCTGCTTGCCATTGTGCCTCCCACTCTCACCTCCCTGTCTACCTGCCTGCATTCTCCTCCCCGACTACTTAACCATCTATCTTTCCCCCACCCACTTGTTCATTTTCCAGTCCTCTCAGTGTTCACTCACCCTCCCCTGACTATGCTGAGCAGTGTGTGCAGCTAGGACTGTAGGCGGTGGGAGGGCTCACAACAAGGCAGTGGGCCCCGCTGGAAGACCTGGGCCTTTGGGCAGCTGCCCCACCCAGTGTTCCCTCTAAGCTGAGTTAGTGTGAGCTAGCTCACCATTTTTTAGCCTCCGGCTCACACATTTTTGTCTTTGCTCAGGAAGGATGGCTCCAGAGCAAACTAACTTACGCAGTAGCCAAATCACTGGCTCGCAACTTTAATGCCGGCAGCTCACAAAATAGAATTTTTGCTCACAAGACTCCATAGCTTAGAGAGAACATTGGCCCCACCCCTGCATATGCTGAGTGACACCGGCTGGCAGAGAGATCAAGTGCACCCAAGAACACAGTTTGCAGTTAGAAACCCCTTCCACTTAGGATGAGCCTCAGGCAAATGCATTGACCAAACCACTCCCTTTTTTGCCACAGTATCCATAATTTCTCCTCCGTCCAGGATACAAAAGGAACATCAGCACAGAGCTTTGCTTATTTATTTCATCTCCATCAGAAAAGGGGGGGGGAATCTGTGGCCACTTGATTGATATCGTGCTCAGGGATCCGTAGACTCTGATGTAATTACACTTATGGGCTTTGTGTGATAAGAAGATTAATCAGCCCATTACACCAGAGCTGTTTACCCAGAGATGAAAGTAATTGAACAGGGCAGTCGTAGGTTGCTGCTGTCACTTGGTGTGGCTACCTGGTCACCTGCCGAAATCCTTGGTTGATGGCTGTTGTTTATTGCTTCTAAAGGGGGGGGAGGGGTGTTGCTGTTTCAGTTTGCTTAGAAATTGCACTGTCTGCCTCCTGCCCCAAATTTGGGGAGGATCAGCTTCTTTTATGGCATTGCACACACTTTGAATATAGATAATCCCAAATTCCATTCCAAGCAACTCAAGTTAAAGCAGTGATTCCCCAAGATGGTGCTTGTGCATGCCGTGTACCAGAGTGCTTCCTGGCACCCACTTCCTACTTCCCCAAAGCAAAGAGCCAGTCCTGGCTTTTCTACATCTCATTAGAGAAGGATGTGCTTTGGAAGCACCCTGGAAACATCATCTGTGGTAGAGGTGTACATACATGCACACTTTTAAGTCTTCCAAAGGTAGAGACTGTTGCATTTCAGGCCAGGTCCATAGTCTTAAATTTGTTAATCTACAGAGCCAGTTTGGCAGAGTGGTTAGGAGCACGGATTCTTAATCTGGGAGAACTGGGTTTGATTCCCCACTCCTCCATATGCAGGTGCTCTGGTGTGACCTTGGGTCAGTCATAAATTCTTTCGGAGCTGTCCTCTCAAGGGCAGTTCTTGAGAGAGCTCTCAGCCCCACCTACCTCACAGGGTGTCTGTTGCGGGGAGGGGACAGGAAAGCGATTGTAAACTGTTCTGAGACACCTTTGGGTAGTGAAGGGTGGGGGTATAAATCCAATCTCCTCTGCTCTTCTTCTTCTAAGCAGAATCACCTCCTTCTAAGCCCATTGACTGCAATGGATTTATAATAAGGGTTTGCAGTGTTACAACAGAATATTTAGATTCCACCTTTTTGCTACTGAACCTGTGTCACCACCACAGCAGCAGTACCCAGCGGCATATGAATGGCATCTGCACATCCCCTTTCCAGTGCCACTCACTTCTACTGGCGCTTCCACTATTTCTCTTTCCCTTTTTCCAGTGCCAGGTGTGCCAGGACCCTCCGTGGCCCCTCGGCCCTCCTTTCCCTTCCCAGCTCTATTCTAACACCGTAGTGCAGCGCAGCAGAGCTTCAAATGGGAGGATACAGTGTGGTGCAGGGAGCACACTCCATGTGGACACTTAGCTCTGCTCCTCTTCCCCATAGTGGCGATGGAGGGGGAGGGTCCTCACAGAGGCTTCCCCCAGCCACTCAGCATTCTTCTCTTTGAGCTGGATTAAAGCAGGTATGTTGTTTTTTTTCTCCTGGTTTAAAGGGGAAAGCCCAGGGAGTTCCACAAATCATGTTCAGAGAATGAGCACATCGTCATGTGGATGTTCCCCTTTTAATGCAGTGGTTTCTTGCCTTCCACAAAAGGGAAAAAAAAACTAGTTTGGAAGCAGCCTAAAAATAGTATTTGAGGTGTCAGGTGGTAAAAATATACATCCCACTAAAATCTAACAGTAGGGCAAATTGGAAAAGCCATGCAAATATAACAAAATAAATGACCATCTAGCGGCAGCCGAGGATCATGAAAGCAGCATAGTATTGAAAACAGTAAAACACAATAAAATCCAGGTTGTGCCCCATGACTGGCTCTGTGTATATTCTAAAGCAGCAGCAGCAGTTCCAGTCCTAGAGGCAAGGCAGTTCAGAAGTGAGACCAGGGATGGGGCGGGGGGGGGAGAGTTAGGGAGGGAGGAAAACAAGGATGTTTCCCCCTCTCTTAAAATGCATTTGGGGTTGGCAGCTCATCTTGCATCTGACGGCAAGGAAACAGAGAAGATTAAAGCTAAACTGGTTTGGGCTGTGTGTAATCAAGGGGAAATGCCCCTGTGATTGTATAATCTGCAGTGGTGGCATCCCTGCAAAAACACTGATAATATAAGCTGTCTGAACTAGGCATAGAATAGAGTAGCTTGCTGTACTCATGCATGTGGCAGGTTTGGGTCTGAATGAGCACTCAGTACTGGCACTTGGTCTGGTCTTAGCTGTGGAATATATGCAGTATTTTATTTAAAATATTTGTATGTCGCTTTTCCACACAAGTAGAGTCCCCAAGGCAGTTGTGCACATATTTTACACCAGTATGGTATAG